AAACTTTACGTTCTCAGGCACTCGAAACCAAGTGGGCAGCCACTATTAGTCCTTGCATCACACAACTGTGGTCGACCTGTGAGGGAATTGTAGTGCACAACCAAATTATTCGGGCATACGCCTGAAAATCGGTTTTAACGTGAGATTAGTTTCATACGTTCGAAATTTCAAATAGAATGGCCACCATGTATGAACTAGTGGCTAGAAAGGTAATGGGCGAAACGTTAGGCGCTCATCAATCCATGAGGAGCCTTTGCGTTCGTGTAAATTCGTAGTAGTAAGGGAGTGGCCAAACCCGTATCTGGCTCATACTTATGATACCCTACTAATGTATCAAGTAAGTGCTGCTATCCCCCTGGACAACTCCGGCACCAATTTGCCGACTAACAGAAACGAAAACAATAGAGATTTTACTGGTCTACAGGTGGTTTACTGGTGCATTAAAAATGTCAATGATGGGAAGGAAAGAAAAATCGACCCGAAACAAACCTATGCAGTAGTCGACGCATTGTTCCTCACTGGCGAATGCGTTCAACTGCTCGTCTCCAACCGCTTGATCTCGCTGAAAAAAATTGCGACACTCACTCCGAATTCCGACGTTTTTTAGCTATCTTTTCACAGATATTAAATAAATTTCTACACATCTGATGAACAAATCCTCAGAACAATTCAATCGGACGCCAATCAACTGCACTTGAATACCAAATAGACACTACATCAGGGTCAACCAAACTTTCTGTGTATTAAAATAGAACTATAACAACTATGTTATACCCTTTTATTTTCTGCCTATTATAATTTCGCGGCCGGGTACTAAGCGAAATACAACCACAACGTTGCTGATGCTGAGATATTTGCAAAACTCTGGACCGCAAGTGTCTATGGTGGGGAACGAACGCGCTATTGTCCTTTCCGGGGAGTAACGCGTTCACCACCACACCATGCGGGTCCTTCGTTTCGCCTGTCTCTCAGCTATTTCTATCGATCTTTGCCACAGCAATCACCCGTCAACAGGATTGATCTGGGGCACCCAAATCGGCATAGAACCCAGTTAAGCTGCGGCTGTAGTTGAAATCACAATGTTATACCTTTTAATTTTCTGCCTACTACAATTTCGCGGCAGGGTACTAAACGAAATACGCCCCAGATCAATCCTGCTGACGGGTGATTGCTGTGGCAAGGATCGATAGAAATAGCTGAGAGACAGGCGAAACGAAGGACCCGCATGGTGTGGTGGTGAACGCGTTACTCCACGGAAAGGACAATAGCGCGTTCGTTCCCCACCATACACACCTGCGGTCCATCGTTTTGCAAATATCTCAGCAACGTTGTGGTTGTCTTAACTCAGTTTTTAGTACTACGAGGAGATTATCAGTCTCCACATTACAACATGGCCAAAGAACACTTAAGGATAGCCTGCCTTGAGAGCCCCAGAGCAACTACCGAGCAAAATGATGTGCTTCAAAATTGAAGTTTCCGATTTTTGTATAGTAATCCAACTACTCTCACCGACCTCCCGTGACCTGCTTTTCCAGACATGGCTCAAATGTAATGATACCACGTTTTGAATGAAAAAGAGAGTAAATGGGATGTTATTGGAGATACCATGTGCTTTTGTGATGTGACCTCTCCTGTGAACTTAGCCATTGCTTCCAGTGAATCGTCGTCATTGAAGATGGTCTACTTCCCTCGCTAACTTTGACCATTCTTCCCTCTTCATTCATCCCAGATGTGCACCACCAACCATTCAAAACATGGATCTCATTTGTGCCTATTCTATACGTGGACGACAAGCATGGATGTTGTAGAAATTATTATATATCTTGACTGGTTAATTAATAATAACGTAGAAAACCACTCATTACTGTTACCGGAGTTTAATGAAGGTCGCTTTTTAAGACATTGCCGCGCCACGTGGCAGCAAGTGAACTACAAACTGCTACAAGAGGCATTGCTAGCCAAAAAGCAGATTATATTGGACGTCGGGAATGGACTAACATCCTTCCTGTATAAAAGGGCACAGCTCAGTGAAGTTAACCATTTGAGTCGATGAGTCTACGAATACCCACATTGTGGACGATCGACCAGCTGACGACCATCGACTCGGATTAATGCGGTTCTAAAGAAGACAAAGACATCGGAACGTTGGCTGAATAAAAGTTTCTATACCAACCTCGTGTTGACTCAATCATGTAGAGAACTATTAATTATCATACATTCCTGGGCGCATGTACCGCAATAGTTAGAGGCGCTCTGCGATACACTTGGGTTCGATCCCGATCCTCAGGCTCACTAAACCTTGCGCCACTGAGGTCGGCAGATTGGTTTCAGAAGGCGACTGCGAAGGGAATCCCTCAGGGATTGATCAATGCCGACAACTTCGACCTTTAATACTAATATAATATATTTCTATTTCGTGGTTTACCGACCAGATTTTTCAACGCAGATTTTTCTAGATACGATATCATGAAATTTAAAAAAAGGCTTTTCTTGGTTGCCTTCGTATAAAGTTTACATGGTCTCGCTGCCATTCACTTACAACAAAACATCTTCTCTTGTGTAGAATAAATGATCCAACAACGACATTTGGCATAGGATTGATTCGCAACCGAGAACTGGAGCTCCTGCAACTGACACGGATTCGATGGCAGGACTTGATGTCTCTATCCCTCTGCCTGCCCTCTAATTTGTAAGAAGTGCCCACAGGATCGTCCAAACAACAAGCGAATTCCTACGGCAAAGTTGTGGCATGGTGAGTCGTTAAACCACAATATTTATTATCTTTGGGGACTTCGATAATGGCCTGCATTTCCTTACCATCGGACGGCTCTGCACCTGCCTAGGTTAACTTCTTAACCAATATCTTGCTTCATTTTCAGTAATGTTCTCTGTATTCCTTGAAAGATAGTGGTCAATGAAGGAAACTGTGTCAATGATATCATTCTGTTACTTCAACGTCTAATTGAAAAGCAATCAGTAGAAAAGTGTCAACTTTCCTCCTGAACTGGTAGCCAGATTCTAAATCTTATAAATTGGTGCATATTAAACTGTCATACCAATGTCATGTTTGGAGTTTTTTCTCAAGAAGTTCATCGCATCAAAAGGAAGTTTGCAAACTTTGTCCCAGAATAAACTGCAGTCTACGTTAGTTTTTTCCAGCGGCTATGTCGTTGTAAGGATTGTAGAGATTTCAAGCAATGGTCCACTTCTACTCTCTGGGCATTCGGATGAAAGTAATGAATCTCTTCTCAGCTTGGAAGACCTTACTAAGGAAGTGAACTTTCCGCTGTACATCGCAGCTCAACACTCGAGAAAAATTCCAAACGATTATGAGGCAGCAAACGATAGGAAAATCTGGGCATCATAACGACGTACGCTAGGGTTATTTCGGAAACAACAAATCTGCTCGCTAATGGCTTCACTTAATTAAGACGAACAAATAGTGACATCCTGACGATCTAGCTACGACGGAAACCTACATGAACTTTTTTGGCTTCATGATGATTTCTTAATCTCAGTGCTCTTTGGCCTGTTACCATTAGGAATCCCTCATGTGGATTCTCTAACCGAATATGGAAAATTAGAGGTCGGCACAGCACTAGAACTAGAAATCGACAACACCTAGGCTAATGTTTCTTAATGAAATTTTTTTGCCTATTAGCTTGAATGGCGACAAAATGGCATCGAAAAAGACTTGAATCCTTTTCATAGAATGATGTACAGTTCGAAGACCTTCATTGATGGATACGAGGGAACGAGAAGAACGCAAAATGCGGTCGTAGCCTCACAGTAGATGCCAAGGACGAGGCGTGTGAAAAAGCTGCCAACTATGCCAATAAAAATTCACACATATGCTTTATTTGATGAGACTACGGAAGTGTTTCGGTGAGTGGAATTCAGTACTGAGTTAATTTGATCTTCAGACTCTGAAGAAGGCGAAACCACCTAAATGTCTGCCGCAATAGCAGCGTCGTTTCTGCTCATCAAGAAAACCGTGAATTACTTACGATCACAAACTTGAAGGAAGAAAACGATTCACCAAAACTTTTCCGCGTATTAGTGAACCATGTTTTTGAGCGTATTACTGCTAAAGACTAAGCTACTCACCAGTTCGCAGTTCCCTGTTCGATAGTTGAACGACCACACCTTCGTCTTGAGTAGACGTCCTCGATTATGTCGCTCAATTAGCGGAGAGCCACATACAAACTCTGAAACTCATTCTAACATCCACATTAACGGAATTCAACATTTGTTTGATATCCTAGTGGAGTGCCTTCACAAAGAATCATTCATTCTTTGCCTATATATCTTTGAGGTTGAGGAATTATTTCTTGTTTTGGAGTCCCATGCAGGTCATAATAGTTACTTCCAGGTTTCACAGCACATACAGTCCCAGATATTTGCGGATCATAAGTGGATTTAATTCATAACCACCAAACTAGGTTACGTCTATAATGGAAGTGATTCCTAAGATTAGTTTATTATAACTGAATTTTTGGGTGGAAATGTTGAACTTGTTTTGAACGTGGGTAGTCCTGCCAGGTGATGTAACTCTGCTTTACATCGCAGTTCAGCATCCAGGAACTGTAAGGTGGCAAACTATTGAGGAAGAGACATCCATCATACACATATCTATATGTTTATCCCTAATACATGCAAAATATAGGACTTCTGTTTAGAGGCTTAATAAAACGTTATCATTAAGAGCAGAAAACATTGAGTTTGGTTTTTTAAACTAAGGAAATCTTCGCATTACCCTTCCTGAAATCATAGTACTTTCTTGGGTTCACTCTCATGTTGTTTATACCAGAAAAACATTCAAAAACGAAAAAAAAAATAAAATAAAGTACTATAAAACCCGTCACTTCTGTTGTTAGAAAGGATATTACAGAAATAACAAAAAAAAATTTAGTCTCTCTAGGTTCGGTGAGAACGAACAACATACTTAACAAAAAAAGTTAGGATAATGAATTTTGGCTAACAATGGAGAAAACAAAAGGTTACTCGACGAAGAACGAAAGTAAACTGAGTGCCGTTTCTTGGGTTAGCGAATAGGACAACTGACCACGACTTGGGCAGCATGCTCCTTTCTTTTCTAGCGTAGCTGTACAAGTGTAGTTCTTCGGGCAGTGTATGTCTTCATCACATCTAGCGATTTTATTGATTGAATATCGATCCGGATGTGGATCACCTTGTGGACAGATGACTGAAACAGAAAGTAACGTGGTGACAAGTGATTTCTTAACCTACGGCTTCTAAATTTTTCTGTCTCCTTTATATTTCTTGAATACCTCAGCTTAGCCAAAAACATGTAAAAATTTCATGTAGCGGGTCATAACGAAATTAATGAAAATGAAGAATTTTACCCATCATTCCAAGGGAATGTATAATAGCATTGTGGGCTACGGTAACTAGCATGAGAATGCTGAGTGAGAACGACGGAATGGGAATAAAATTCCTTCAATATTTTCTTTCTGTATATTTCTTAATATGAACCTACTTAATAGCTAGCAAACTCATATCAGATTTATGGCGAAACTGATTTACTTAAGTGTCAACCAGTCGAACTCACTCTCGGTACTGCAAAATTGAGTACATTCGCCTTTTGTCCTAAAATTGTTCTCGTTTCCACCACAACCGGTAAACGTAAATGAACGACATAATTTTGATGCTGCATCGTAGTAGTACCTGTACATCATTCTATGAAAAGAACCCGAATAGAGAAGCTAAATATGAAATAACTGGTAAAAATAGACAAAAATAAAAAGTTATATATTGTGATTGGTTATGATACATGGATGGCTGGTGGCGCAGCGGTCTGAGGCGCCCTGCAACTCAGACGAGGAATCGATCCGTGCGCTCATGGCCCACTAAGCCTTCCATCCCTTCGGGTCTAGCAAATTGGTACCAGACTTGTCTGAGGCGATAGCAGCACAACCCCGATACATCTGTAGGCCACCGCGAGTCATTGTAAAGGCCAGATATATGCATTCAGTCACCTTCAGACGATGCTTAATGAAGTCGAATGCATGGCGCATCCCTCAGGGATTGATCAACACCGAGAGCTTTATCCTTTGTTATCCTTTGACATATGACATAGTGACATCGCTGATCATAACAGGACATATGGTTTTAACATACTTAACAACATAATACATGCAACCTTTAAATCGCCCTTGATCGATAGGTCGTTGAAACACTGACGTTACTTTGGAAAAATCATGTTCGAACGACAGTTAGCTCACTTCCAATTCACAACGGCTGAAGTCTCGCAAATATCCTATTACGAATACCACGAGATTCCATGGAGCACCCTCACTAATTAAGGACTTTGGAAACGGCTAATTAGTAAGAGGATAAAACTGAGTCAACCTTAGCATATCTTTTCCATTTTTTCACAGGCAGATTGCCTTCACACGTTGTGACATTCACTGGGAGTGAGGCGCTGCTTCAACACCAAGCCAGGCCCTCCAAGACTCCTAACCCTCCGGGGTCGGAAAATTGACGCCAGACCTGCTTGGAACCATCTCGTACACCCCCTCCTCCTCAGTCTACGTGGGAATGCCTTAGTTCAGCCATTGTACGATGCCAGATAAAGTCGGTTTGAATAGCCGGTCGCTGTTTTACTAATACCATTATTAACACATTCACAAAGTTTTAAAATCTTCGTAGATGATGGATGTGAGACGAGACCCTGTCATCTCTGTGAGAGATAGTCCCGTTTATCTTTGAATTACTCGTCTGGACGATGTTAAACGTGCGTTCCACTTTTCCCTGCTGCGTGCAAGTTGCTACCAGGTTCTGTTCGCTGTAGGGGCTCGTTGAGTATCATACCATTCTTCTGAGGTTTTTGTGGTAAACCCTCACCATCGGGTCGGTGGCCTTCCTGCAGTGCATTTTACATTCGAGGGAATCCAGCCACTAACGGCTTTAACTCACGTCCATCCGTTGTCTTTTATGCACATTACGTGTTCAGCCCATATTATCTTCAACAGTTCGGTGCACAGAACGGCGTCTTTGATTTTTGACCGTTAAAGTGGACCGGAGCTTCGGTTCCTTTCATTCACTTGTGTGACACTCCTCCTAGCATCGTCCTTTCGACTATGCGTTCTATAACACTGAGTGATCTTTCATTCTGCTCACGTAGCGACCAGGTTTCTGACGCATGCGTTAAGGCTGGAACAACTGTGGGATCTAAAAGGAAAGTGCGGAGTTTTCCCTCTGCTCAACTCTGGAGCTAATACGTTAACCGTAGACTTCCTCACAACTGCAGCATTCGGTGATATTCAACCCGTTGAGCTTGAAGACGAATTTTTTCATAGGCATTATCAAAGTCGGCTAGTGCCGTTCCATACGGCTAATGCTTGATATTATAAGAATACCATCAGCAAAGCGAAGATGGTGTAATTGGCAACCATCGATTTTCACTCCCACATTATTCCACTCCAATGTTTGCATGACGTTCTGGAGGGTGGCGGTGAATAATTTTGGCAAAATGGTGTCGCCTTGCCTAACCCCTCTTTTAACGTCGATATTAATTTTGTTGTAAAATGGCGATATTTTGGTTGTAAAGTTTTCATATATCTCAGAGAATCTTTATGTACTAAGTAGAGACGCCCTAGCTGTCCAGGTCCTCCATGACTGCTTCTATCTCAGCTAAATCAAAGACATGTACCGAACGGCTTAAAATTTGTGCACAGGAAAAGAGGAAGGAAAGCAATCGTTAAACTTCTTACGAAAATTAGCCATTTCCAATGGCTACGAAGCAGAAGCCAATCGGTTCAGATAGAAAAGTACAATTGTTTCCCAAAACAATGTTTCGAACCTAAGTAAGATCCTCTTTTAACTACCCTTAATATCAAATTAAATAAGTTGCGCCATTAAGAGGATGCCTAAGCAGAAGTGATCTTGAAAATTATGCGCTGATTATTGACCTCCCACCGAATAGCCCGCGCCGTCAATTAGTCCTCAATCGCCTTTATGATCGTTTATGCAGTTCGGAAAATTGTATGGGCGGTTATAACAGGAGAGACGGGGCTTGCATGTGTTCAAGTACAACATATATCTTAGCTAAGTTATGAGGTGAAGAAGGAACGGATAGACCGCTTTGTGACCACATAATAGAACATCTTGATGGGAATGCCAAAATTCGTCAAAGCACTCCTCTAGGTACACATAGGGCATAAAAGTACAACGGCGATGATTTTGAAGTGAATGTGAGGGAAGAATCCTGTCGTATTCCTTGTCGATGCTGTCAATAACGGAATCTTCGCAACAGCTAACCAAATACCTTGAAAAATACCCCTTTATGGTAGTTTTGAGGCTTCGTTTTACTTCTAGCAGCTTTCCCTCCTTTCCACGATATATGGAATATCGCGCAAGCGATTCTACTACTGCCAGTTACAAAAATTAATCTTAATCTCATGACACTCAGACAGCCGCTTAATTTGCTCGTTCCATTATATTCCGTAGGCCCCAATATAGCGTTCTTCACACGTTTTTCTGAGCCCAATCTTAGTGTTAAAATCCAATGATGATCTTAAGGAAGGCATGGTCTTCTCCATAGAACTTCTCCAAGGCCATATAGGATGCCTCGAGTTCGTCTTCATCGCAGTCTGATGTCGGTACGTATACGACAAAAATTGTCAAAGCGGATGTTGACGCACATCTCTTCAATCGTGAGCGCACGATTTGAGATGTTATTTGGGTTGTTAGTTGATCGAGTGAATCGATGTTCATGGCCAGAGTTGCGTTGACAAAAAGGCGGTAGCCGCCGATTCCTCTAACGTCGTAGGCTCTGAGGAACAGTCGTTTTCCGGTGTCATAAACGGCTTTGAATGGCAGGAACCTTGCCGTCTCAGCCAGTCCAATGACGTCGCACCTTATCCTTCTCGCTTGCATGGTCATGTCCTCTATCGAGGACTCAAATGCTAAGGTGCGTGCGATGTACGTACAGATCGTCACCTTAGCCCTTTGAGGTACAGGTATCTTAGAATGGCACCGGGATTATGGCAGCCTCACCGCACTCTTTCTGTGCTTCCCAGTCACTTGACCACAGGTGTTTGGCGGAACTAAGTCGAGCAGTACAATCTGCATAAAGGAGACCACACCCACTCACGCATGCATGAATATGTCTACAAACAACCTCAATTAGAAAGTATAGTCTGGTGCTATGACAATCTTGTAAAAAGTAATCACATTTCACCATCGACTCAATCCGCAACTTGATTCGACCAGCACTTCTGTCATCATGGTGTTTTCTCCACTTCCACCTCTTGTTTTATAATCTGTGTTCGTATTCATTTAAGGGATCACATCACATCCATCACATTTCGTAGGCGGTAGTGATATAAATTTTTAAACATTTTTGATATGAGTGGATTGGAATTGGAAAAAAACGGAACTACCTCGTCATCGGTGGAACACCACATGCAGAACCACCATGTACCGATGCATGACATATACGATCTGCAACAAGACTGTTGTAAGACATTTAAGTCCCTAAATGCTCAAAAAGTTCTCGCAACAATCCAGTTTCCTATAATTGTGAATTCGAGATGATGTTTGGAATTAGTGTTGACAAGTGAGGATAATCCTTCCTACTCAATATAAAGAACAGTTTTCATTGACGGGAAGTGGTAAGACTTATACTAATCTTCATGCATATCAAAACTGCCCTAGCGATCATCGATCACCCATCATCGATCATGAATGACAAAAGAAAAACTGAATTACTTGTAGCTTTTGCTTCATTCATTGGTTAATGGATCTAGTAGAACCGCACTGAGCAGTGAAATTCGGAGTTGAAAGCTTTTTAGTGCGGCAAGTGTAAATTAAATCATTAAATTGAAAAATTCTAAAGGTTGAAATAACAAGGCTTCAGAACAGACTGCAAGGGCCAGTGGCTATTACAGATGGAAGAGTTTCCACTTTATTATCTGCCAAAGTGAGGTGTAAAATACGATGGGTTGGTCCGGTGTAGTAGTAAATGAGGTCGGACATCCCCTAAAGTTGGCCGGATGCATCGGTACGCCGAGCAAGTCATCGTAAAAGATATATGATAAAACGTTCTGCATTAATCAATTCTTTGAAGACGCTCCACGCATTCGACTTCATAAAGTATCCTTAGAGATTGATGAATGCATATCTAGCCAATACGACGGCTTGGACTTTTCCATCGATTGATAAAATCAACGTTTCTATCTCTTCAGAGATTTCTAGTGTCAATTTGCCGAAAGCGGAGAGCTTGGTTTGCCCGGAGTACGAAATTAAACTATTTCCCCCGTTCTCATATCTAACCACTGCATTATAGGCTCCAAGCAGGTTTTACTATAGGCGAATTAGGTATGCAATTCTTCATATGACGTTTAAAGCAGTCGAATGTATGACATCCTTATGGAACTGATTAACGCCAAGCGCTTAAGGCTTTAGAAGCAACAATAGATGGATGGTTCACCAACCTGCGGTACTCATCTAAAAAAAACCTTACCTGCTCTTTCACAGCATACCGAAAGCATTCCCTTTCCAATGCATTCATGTGAACCTGGGCACGGTACTCGATCGGAATCGCAGCGTTTAATGTTTCCGGCAAAATCCATCAGTGGAAGGCCCTTTCGACATTGAGCTGAAAATTTTGGAATCCATGAAGTTTTGAAAATTTTTGACGACAACGCTTTTATCGGTCGCCTGCCGCGGTCCT